AACTGAGCTGATGCATTATCAGAGCTGGGTCTATGGGCCTTATTATAACGAATCAGTTCATCTTTCATTTCAAGCCCTCCCAAGGCTATGCATTCACTTCTCTTGAGCATAGGAGAAATACCTTCAGTGAAGCCCTGGAGCTTTCAGGAATCCCATTTCCGTATTTCCCTGAGATGATCCCGCAGGCAAGTGGAGACCATGTCATTGCTCCAACCCCTACAAAGCAATCCGATAAGGAAATCACCATGAATTATGGTCATATTGGTACATGACAAGTGTGACTATCTGCAAACAGAAATACCAAGTTTACTGCTTATTCCTGTGGTAGAAGTTAGTGATATTCAATTGGAATAATGGTAATAACAGTCTCTTCCTTAAAAGGACCTGGATAAGGTTATTTCTTATTTTTAAAAAGCTGTTTGATTCCTCTTAGAGCAACTGGCACAGTCCTGTCATGGCAGCTGCCTCTTCCACATGCTGGTTCCTGCTCTTTCCAGTTAATGGCGGTATCCCAGTCTTGTCCCTTGGCTTAGGTGGCTCCTGTGTTTCACTGTTGAGTGGGGATGCCCCCTGCCTCTCTTTGTTATGCTGTCACAGCCCTTTTTCTGCACTGCATCTGACACCTCCCCAGAGAATGGCAGAAAAAGGTCCATCCTCCTCCAGAACAAAGGGAGGAAAATGTGAACCCACAGGCAATCTGCTCCTCTTCCGGCCCACCTTGTCCTCATCCCATCCCCAGCGCCGATCACTCAACCCACATAGTGGCTTGTAGCCATGGAAAAGACAAACTGTTTTGCAGGTAGATGCATCCCCTTCACTACAGAAGAAATGAGCTTTGTGACGGTGGCTCCCCTTCATGCTCAGATACAGAGATATCATTTGGGCTTTAGAAATTAGCATCTCAAAGTAATAGGTATCTACACTGAGTCCTCTCTTTGGGTGGCTCGGCAGATGTTTGTCTTCTACCACACCGCTATTTAACAGGGAAACACAGGAAAGGATTCTGAATGTCTATCAGGTCTGTGTCCTTGCTACTAGCTTTTCATTTCCTCAAGAGAAAGAAATGAGAGAACAGAGCAATCTCAATATTTTACCTATTTTGTGATATAATTCTGGCAGTTGAACCTCCACTTTCTCTCGCTGGAAAAGATGATATTCAGCCTGCTCACATACAGGTGGAATCATATTAAATTGTCTTGCTACAGAGTAGGCTTCCTGTACAAAATCAATAGAATAAAATGAAGTATTAATGGAGACTATCCTTGTGGGATATAATATTCCAATCAATTACACATCAATAAAATCAGTGCATGTCCCAGACCTCTAAGTATAAGAATCTGCTGCAAGAATTGGTATGTTCCCACATTTTTGTCAGATGCTGTATATATATTATATTACATTATATTATATCACATTACAATATAATTAATACAATATAATATACACGTTTCCCCAGCTTCTTTTTCAAAGAGCTTTTTACTGTTTGTAAAGTTGGGGAATGTGGGACCGTAAGGGCTGAAGGGGGTGCCAGTGCATGTGGCTGTCCTGGAAGTCCGCCATGCGCATCATCACATCTGCCAGGACTGTCAAGACTCTCTCCTGGTTCTTCATTTTGAGTTCCCTGCATCCTCTCCTGTCCTGAGAATTCATGACCAGGTGTGCTGCCTGCTCTGAGGTCTGCTCACCATGCAGGCCACACCGGACATGAAATTCAAATTTTCCTAGGCCTTTTCCTGTTCACCTGGAGAGCAGCAGAGTTGAAAGTCCTGGCCAGAGAGGTCACAGTGGAGCACTGTGGGACACCTCCCAGAGGCCAAGAAAGTCAATTTTCACAACACTGCACCTGCACTACTCTAGAATCAACTATGCATGGTTGAATTTACTGTTACTCCTTTTGAAAAAGTCAATTTCAATACTCCCTGCTTCACGGCCCTTAGAATTGAAGGAATGGGCTTGGTGATGTGGACTCGCTGTTTAGAAAATCAACCTAAGTTCGACAAACTCCCAGTGTAGACCAGACCTGATAGTAAATGAGAAATTGCTTGAGACCAAGATTGTTGTCTAAGTTAGACACTAGAAGTATTTTATATTTGGTTTACTTTAAGCCATTTTCAATTTCTGTATCCTCAGTTACTATCACTTAAATCTCTGTTCTTTATTAATAAATTTATTTTTTATTTTACCATAAAATCATCTCAGCACTGTCTATTAAAGCTAATGTGAGAGGCTGGTGCGTGCACTTTCTTTGGAGGCAGCAGACTTGATCATTTCAGTGAGTGTCCAGTGACAGGGACTGGATACTGCAGAGAGATGTTCTGGAGAACTTGGGAAGAGGGGTTCACTGTGAAGGTTTAGACAAGGTTTAGTCTGGCAGAGTCTCAGGGAATTTGCTGGTGAGGCAGACAAACTGGTGTGGCTCTGAGCCATCATTCAGTTTAAGCTCCAGCACAACTCTCTTTTTCTAAGGTTGGGGAGGTGGGATAGCACTGCAACTTAACATTACCAACTTACCTGAGGACAGTGCCACAGCTGTTATGTTTTAAAAGAACCCAAACCCTTTTTCTTACCCTAGATAAGGTCAACAGGGTTGTGCTTTTATCAGTGCACAGACAGTGGATGCCTAGAGTATGTCTGAAAAAACCAAGCCCCTGCAGAATCAAATCTTTTTACTGTTTACTTTTCAAAAGTCTCCTCTCTATTGGGGCATTACATGTCTGTACCCATACAAATGCCAGTGCAGATGTGCACTGCTAGAGGGTGGAGCTGAATCTGTGCAGTGCATCCACACTGATGTGGATTGGGGATAGCTACACCACTGCAAAAATCCCTGATGTAGTCAAGTTAAAAGTTTACAGTAAACTTCAGACTCAGACTTGCGGCAAATGATTTGATAATTTACTGATAAATATTCATTTCTGATCACCTGTTGGCTGCCTGATGGATGCCAGGCTCCTTCATCTTTTGGCCCTGGTTGATGAAGTGAAAACTCCTTGGAATTGAAAAATTGACTTCCATCCCTTTGGGACTTAAACAGTCAGGACTCAAATTTTCCAGGTCTAATTTTTTCATCACAAAAAGGAATAGCAATTACAGTGTCACTTACTAAGGAAGTCACTGCTTCTAGATTGCTTGAGATTTCTGGAACTGACAGTAATGCTGACATCTATTTAATATGGCTGTGTGCCGAGCTTAGTTATCCATGGAGAAACCCTCCCCAATCTTGGAATCCTATTCAGTGAAACATCATCCCCCGACACCCAGATGGAACACATTCACAAGTACTATTGTTGGGGAAGTTTATTGAATCATCCATGGCCACTGAGCCAACAGGAGAACTCCAACAGTCTTCCTACCAAGAGTTATGAAATAAGTAAAAACACCTAAAAGTTGGTCTACACTACAACTGGTTTTAATATTGGCTTAGCTGAACAGATTTTAAGACCAGTTTAAACATTTTCCCAGCATAGACAGATACTTATAATTCCACCTTTGCTGTACATTACGGCAAATTCTGAAGCCTTATATGTGGTCTAAAGCATGCAACAGAAACTGATGATATTTTTTAAAAGCCACATTACCATGATCTCCATAGCACTCCACCGAGAGGTTCCCCAGTACATGGCCATCCCCTGGTTTATCACATGTGTCATGGCTCGGACAATTTCTGAATGAGAAGAAAAAATAAAGATCTCCATGAAATATCATATAAATCCAACTATTACAACCCAAATTACTATAATATTGACAAACTGTAAACAATGGAGCAGACAATCATTGACACGTGCAAGTACATTATACAGTGATTGCTAAATAAATACCAGCATAAACAGGATATTAATATTATCCATTATTAATGTTTGATAATACAAACATTAGTACATGCACCCAACTCTACCCATGAATCATGCCAAAACTAGAAGGCATATTTTCATACTTCAAGCTCAACAACTTTGGGTGTTTCGAACTGGCATGTCAGAACCTGATTTGGATTTCACTTTGATAATGTAAAACAGGTGTAACAATTTAAAGTTATAGAAGATGTACATGAGATAAGACAGTTTCCCCCAAATGGTGTTCCACGGAACCCCAGGGTTCCGCGAAGTGAAAATAAGGGTTCCATGAGACAATTCCATTACAATAACATTTTATGAGTTAAAAAAACAATTATAATATTTAAGCATTTATGAATTTGAAAACAATTTTAATTTGTGTGGCCACAATAAGTGTCCTTGTGTAATGCCAGCTTAGCCAGAGAGTGAGGACGATGATGTCACTACTCAACACTGCGCATGTAGTCAGTCAGTGGTGCGATTACCTGATATATAGCACTGTAAATCCCCATACTCACTCTCAGGGAGCGTGGATCACGTGGGTGACTGAATATGAACATGTACACATTTAATGTGATTTTTGTTTTTAAATATGTGCAATTAAACAAAATGTTGATCTCATAACCTTGTTTAGCATTTGTTTATTATCCTCTTTACTTATTTGTTGTCTATTTTTTCAGCTCCATACATAAGACGGTTATTAGGGGTTCCACAAAATTCTTTCGAGTTTAAAAGGATTCCATGGCCAAATAAAATTGGGAAACACTGACAAAAAATAAGGCTCTGGGTTCAAGCTACTTTAGAAATGGGTGGCAGCTGCAGGATCCAGGTTGAGATTGTGAATCTCCAAAGGGCAGATGATGTCCAGTTGGAGAAATTTTCCCTGGACTCACCCATCTTTGTGGTAAATATAAGGCTATTAATAGTGAACCACGAGCTAAGCAGTTTGAGTAAATGACCAACATGAAACAAAAAACAATCCTAAAATAATGGCATTGTAGCCCATGTAACAGTATATTCTATCATACATCCTTGTTCGCATTTTTTCTGTTTATTGATAAAATTGCATGGTATGCAAATTTCAGGACAATAACCATGCTGTGTAGTGAATGTACATTTCTTATTAAACAAAATATTACATGTGGTCAGGCTGATCCATGACATTTTTCTAAACCTTTAAGAACACAAGAGGGCAGCATTATAAAAGAAGAGTTTTGGGAAATGTAATGAATAAAATCTGCTAAAATCTATAAAGTTCATAAGATTTCTTATTAATTTAATTTTACAAATCACAAGTATACACTCAGATTTGTTGCATTTTATTAAGATTGGTAAGATGCTAGTAACAAAATACAAAGCTGGCTAATCATATTTTTGGTTATATCAGTACACCTGTTTTTCTATTGTCCGTTTACACCCTCACCGAGTATCAAAGTACTGTATTAGATTATACCTCTTTGCCTTACAAAATTCTACAGTACTTATCAGTTTTATGTGGGGTTATGGAAGGGGATGATATGATTGCAATTAATAATGTAATTTAGCATTTATATAGTGCTTTGTCTTCCATAGGCTTCAAAGACCTTACAAATCAAGATAGGCACATTTCTCTCTATTTACTGATGGAGCAGCAGAGTGCAGAAGGTTTAACTAACATGTCCATAATCACTCAGAGTCAGTAATAGCCTCAGGACCAGAACTCAGATATCCTGACTCCTGAGTTCCTTGCGTAGTCCATGAGACCAGAATGCCTCACCCAGAGGTGTGACCCAGAAGTGGGTCTCCACAAATTGCCAAATGGATTTCATCTCGCTGGTTGAGAAAGCAGCATAATCTCTTGGTCTCACCAATGAGAGCTGTGGAGTATCCAGCACTTTAAGTTTAGGCATCCCTGAAGAAGTGGCATGATTTTTTTTGAGTATGTCTATACTGCAAACAAAGATGTGTCCTTAACTTAGAGTAACTAAGTATTAGTAAACATGGGTTAAAATAGCAGTGAAGACGTAGCAATGCAGCTTTTAACCCAAGTTCAAAGCAGAGCTGTCCACGTCTTCACTGCTATTTTAACCTCTGATACCTAAGTCAAGTTAACTAATCTGAGTTAAGAACACAACTGTTTTGCAACATAGATACAACAGATTTTCTAAAATCTTGGCTCGCAATATTTAAGATACTCAAAGCATTCTCGGGTACATGAGAAATGAACAAATTCTCTGTGCCAAAATCTGGAAAATGAGCAGGAAGAAAGTTATGTAACGGGATGCAAATAAACAAAACTCAGCTAGAGTTGATTTTTAGATGAATCTTATGGTTCCAATTTTTAGTTTTGGGAAGGTTAGGGACCTCACAAAGGTCCATCTAGCCCAGTATCCCATCTTCTAACAGTGGCCAATGCCAGGTACCCCACGGGGAATGAACAGAACATATAATCATCAGGTGATCCATCTGTTGCCCATTCTCAGCTTCTGATAAACAAAAGCTAGGGATACTATTTCAATAACCATTGATGGATCTATCCTCAATTAATGTAATTAGCTTTTTTTTAACTCTGTTATACTCTTGGAATTGAGAACATCCTCTGGCAAGGAGTTCCACATATTGTCAGTGCGTGATGTGAAGTAGTACTTTCTTTTGTTAGTTTTAAACCTATCTATTAATTTAATTTGGTATTATGGGAAGGAGTAAATTACTCTTCTTTATTCACTTTTTCCACACCAGTTGTGATTTTATAGACTTCTATCATATCCCCCATTATTTGTCTCTTTTCTAAGATGAAAAGTTCCAGTCTTATTAATCTCTCCTCATATGGAAGCCATTCCATACCCCTAATAATTTTTGTTGCCCTTTAACATTTTCCACTGCCAAGATATATTTTTTGAGATGAGAGGACTACATTTGCATGCTGTTTTCAAGATGTAGGCATAAAAAGGATTTATAGAGGCAATACAATATTCTTGGTCTTTTTTCTCTCTCTTTCTTAATGATTCATAACATTCTGTTAGCTTTTTTGATTGCTGCTGCACATTAAATGGATGTTTTCAAAGAACTATCCACAATGATTCCAAGATCTTTCTCTTGAGTGGTAACAGCTAATTTACCTCCTGATCATTTTATACAGATAGGTAGGATTATGTTTTCCAATAAGCATTACTTTGCATTTATCAACATTAAAATTCATCTGCCATTTTGTGGCAGTCACTTAATTTTGAGATCCTTTTGAAGCTCTTTAAAGATGTTTTTCCATAATATACAGAGTGATGTATGCATATATAACAACCAAATTTAGTTTGCAATTGTTAGTTGCTTTGACCTTCAAATGAATATAGTTGCTGATTTTCATTCCAAAAAATTGAAAAAAAAGTAGAAAGATGCAGAAGGCTGGGATGTGTAATACTAGCATTTCTAGATGCCTAGAGCAAGATTTTCAGCTGATGTAAATCATCTGTACAGCTTCAGTGGTTTAATGGAGTTATGCCAATTTGCATTAGCTGAGGCTCTGGTACCTAGAGTTTATAACTATTCATGTAATCATACTGTACAGTTAATTTACATAAGATCAGGGGGGATGTCTACACTACCCCGCTTCATAAGAACAGGTAGCCAGAAGATTAACAGAATTCCCAACTTTTTTGTATTATTCTGGGGGAAATTGATATGCTGAAAAAATAAAGAGTTTCAAAATGCTCCAGGATATTTGTGCCCCAATAATCTTTCTCTGGTGTTTAGTTTTATAACCTGTAAGTAGAAGCAGAGAGCTGCAGGCCAATTAGGAATCTCTCTCTGGTGTTTAGTTTTATACCCTGTAAGTAGAAGCAGAGAGCTGCAGGCCAATTAGATGCAGCTGGGAGGTAGCTGGCTCAGGCAGATTGTGGCCAGCTGACTCCTCTGCTGGCTAGCTGAGGGCCTTTAAAAGCCTCAGCAGCTGGAAGCTGGGGGGTGTGAGAGGACAGAAGGGAAGTGGTGGAGAGACAGAGAAGAGGTTTGAGAGCACAATCCGTAACAGCATTAGGTGGAGGCAGCTAGGAAGGGAGTCTGAGGAGGCGTGGCCGGGTTTCTTACCACAGAGACCTGCTGCAAACCCTAAGTTTTGGGGTTAGGAACGAGAGACCTGCCCAGTGGTGGCCTGGGTAAGAGGGGACCTTACCACAGCAGTGATAGATTTCCATCACTTGGTCCATAACAGTGTTGAATAGATCAGAGGCAGCTATACACCCTTGACAAATACCACAGTTGTACTCGACCCAATTGGACATCCTACTATCTCAGTGGACACAGCTCTCATTTTGTGGTGCATTTTTATAAGAAGATTGAGGAGCTTGCCAAGTATACCAGCAGCTTGCAGGAAGAGACAAAGGGAATTATGATCAACAAAGAAAAAGGCAGATTTTAAATCGGTAAAGGCTATATACACCTCATCCTTGGACTTTTTCAATAATTCGTCTAATGGAGAAAATCTGCTCCATGGCTGGACATATACCTGTTCTAATGTAGATGACCTAGATTCCTCATGGTGGTCGTAACATGCTCAAGAAGAGTTAGCATGAACAGTTTTTTGGTTGGAATGGAAAGCAATGAGAGCTCATGAGGACATCACCTTTCCCTTTCCAAATGGAGAGAATAATCCACTGTGCCAGTTATTGCGTAGCATCTCATGAATCCACACTTTGTTGATAATATGGGTCAGCTGCCCCAAGACAGGAACCTCACCATGCTCCATCAGCTGGGCAGTTATACGACAAATATCGACAGCATGTCCATTCTTGAGTTTGCAGGCTGCACTTCGAAGCTCCTCGATGAAGACTTCCACTGAATCAGGTGGGACAGATGATATATC